GAGGAGGAGGAGGAGGAGGAGGAGGAGGAGTAGTGTTGTGGTTGGAAGACTCACTTGATGTAGTAGTACTCATCAGCCCATGCCTTGAACCTAGAGGAGGAGTGTGAGTTAGACCCGATGGAATGGAGATTCGCAGGAGCCAGCAACAAGAGAAATCAAAGGGGGAGGAGGGAGGAGGAGGAGGAGGAGGAGGAGGAGGACGAAGGATATGCAGCACGTCTGCTCACTTAGGATGGAAGTCCTTGTCGTGCTTGTCGCAGACATTCTTGAGGGTGCTATGGAAGTGCTTCATGTCCTCCTCCACGAGGTAGCTGGGGGTGATATCCTGTCCTCCTCCGAACCACCAGTTGCCTCCCTCAGTTTCCTGCCACCCCGTCAGCCAAGGGGATGAGGAAGAGGGAGGAGCTAGAGGGAGGAGCTAGAGGGAGGAGCTAGAGGGAGGAGCTAGAGGGAGGGAGGGAGGAGCAACTTACGAAGTATCTGTAGTTGAAGTGCATGGTTGGGCAGTGGGGATTGCGAGGGTGCATAACCTATGTGACTGTCAGCAGCCGGCCGACCGCGCGATCTCCCTCCTACCGAGCTGAGCCCGCAGGCAAAGAAGGGGACGCGATCGCCGGGAGCATAGCCCTTGGCACGATCGTTGTTGCTGAACTTGAGGCGATCATTGGCAGCCTGAGAAACACGTCACTTCTCGTCCTCCCCATCCCCCCCGTCCTCCTCCCTCCTCCTCCTCCTCCTCCTCCTACATTGAGCGCCTCGAACGGCATGGTGCCGTGGACGACCGCAAGGTTCACTCCAGCCTTCTCCCACACTTTTCCTCCAGACATGACGCGGGTGAGGCCTCCTCCTCCGTCCTCACGAGCCCACGGGTCCTCGATAAACTTGCCCTGCCCATCGCAGTCCTCGACAGACTTGCCTGCGGCGCCAACGTCAACGCATGCATCCTTGCTGGCAGAGAGCTGCCGTACAGATGTAAGCCTGAGCATCTCTGAGCATCTTCTCCATCTTCGTCCTCATCTCTGCGTTGACAGGAACGTCGACAGCAACCATCTGCACGGGTCTACATCAGCCCGACGCTCGCTGGCACGAGAAAGCTCTCACCCTAGTAGAGATGGCAGCTGGAGCGAGGTTGGAGCGCGAGACGCGGAAGCTTGGAAGTGATGAAGGAAGGAATCCGCTCACAGGGTTGACAACCATTGTCATGGTTGTAGCAATCAGGAAAGAACGCATGAACATGGTGAATTTCAGTCAGAGCAGGTTCCTCTTGGAGAATGCTGTAGGGAACGGAAGGATCAGCACACAGACTTGAACAAGAGGGATGAACGTTGTTCGTATGTCCATCTAATTCTACTTGGCTCGGTCTCAAGTGACCAGGAATAATCAGGAAAGATCCCGTCTGCTCCTGTGCTACAGTCCCTCCACTGTCGTCACCTTCTTCCCCTCCTTCTGATCATTGTTGCCTGCCTCTCTCTTCGTCTCGCTGCTCCGCCTCCTCTCTCCTCCTCGTCCTCTACCACGGTATCCTGCTCCCCCCCCCGCTTGCTGTACCTGCTCCCATCCTCCTCTTTAAGAAGCATTTCAGAAGGGGGGCCGATCTGACAGGGGGGTAGGGGTGAGAGAAAAAGGGGTAATCCTTTCTTTCAATGGTCATTTTTGAAGGTAGGGTACTTTAATAACCCGTCTTTTTAAGGAGTAAAAATGGGGTACAAAAGTCCTTTGTTGGAATATGTAGGGGTGAATGAAGCATCTATAGGGTCATACTATCAAGAGGGTGGGTGTACCCCTGAACATGGGTTCGGGGGGTCATTAGGGATCCTCTTTTTTGTCAGCGAAAGTCAGCGGTCGCTACGTGTAGTCACGACGCCAGCAAAATAAGCAAAGAAATAGATGAGAAATGTGTTATTTAGATCAATAAAAGGTTAATTTAACAAATCAAATTTAACCAATATATTCTTAATAACTTGCATTTTTGGTACAAATGTGACAGCCATGGTAGTTAAATTGCAATATATTTGTTAATAAGGCTTCCTGACAGGTTTTACTGACTGCTATTGGCACTTTTGATAGCAGAGACTGGTATCGTGACGGTGTCCCTCTGCGCCCCTTGCTTCGGGCTTACTATAGTAATAAAACTGATAGCAAAACCTAAAATACTTTTTGTCTCCGATAGAGAGCTGTTTCGCATAATCTCACTTCTCTGTAAAGTGGAAGCGTTGTCATCTCGGGATAATCTCTCCGAGTAACTCCTTCCTCAAGGATACAATAACGGACGTTATAATTGTTATTTCGAGGTGGCTCGTCCCAGCCTCGGGCCCTCAGTCATGCGACATGGCCGGACTCCGAGTGCCGCCGGTGATCGCCGGGCCCCGGATGTAACTGTTTCCGTTTCCGTTCCCGGATGTAACTGTTTCCGTTTCCGTTTTCCTCTTAACGTATCGTAACGTGCGGCGGTGAATTCTACCATGGCCAGGCTGCGATCCATCATGCTCCTCATGCTCGACGTTCCCCGGTGAGTGCGAGGGAAGCAGCGGCTAGGAGCGCATGGCAGCAGCTGATGCTCATGAGACGCCGCACATGGCATGCAGGATCCATAGGACAGGTAGCCAGAGACAAACTGTTGTAGCACGCGAGAGTTGTAGTGATTGGGGCGCTACTTCAAGGAAGGGAATTCAGTTGGGGATAATCATTACATGAAATATGTTGTGAAGACAAGATGCACACAGTTTGTGAGCTAGAAAGTGTTCTATATCATATGCCAAACGGATGAATGCTTTCTTGGAAGGGATGTTTTGATGCACATCCATGGCATGCAAGAGATACAGGGGCTTTCTAAGATAATTTGTCATGGGTGAAGCATCAGCCATGATTTCTCACCCATTCTGTGACGATGCAGGACCGCCAACTTCTTCAGAGAGGGTTTGGGCTGCAAGGTCGTAATGGCAGACGACAGCTTCGCGGAGGTTCAAACCGGAGAGGTCAACATCATGCTCAAATCAGTTCAAAGGTAGGAGCATGAATGTCACGGCCAGTCGCTGATACTGTTTGTTGTGTCGATGCTCTCACTGCAGCATCGCTGAGAGCACCAAAGGATACTCCCCCTTCCTCAACTTCGAGGTGGACGACATCGACGGCGCTATCTCACGGCTCATCTACCACGGAGGCTCGCTGGACGGGCCGATCAAGTACCCTGCCCATGGCAAAGTAGCGGCTGTGCAGGCACCGTGCGGGCATATGATCAGCCTGTTCGAGCCAAACTCCGACCTGCTCACCCTACAGTCCCGATTGAAGTGACGAATCCCATCCCCCCCCCCCCCCTCCCCGCCCCCCCCCCAGCCGTCTTCTCATTCTTCTTTCTTTCCTGAGTTTTGAGGAATCGTGTTTATATCCCTCCGTGTATCAAAAAGCAGCTGCAAAATGAAATATGGACATGTGCTGGGGCAACGTGTAGCGTTCTCTTGTTCTCGAACGCTACCTCCCAAAGCATTGGAGGAGGGTTGTAACTCTCCTCTCAGCTGGAAGAGAAAGACGTTGAACGACGACGATGACGAGAGAGCAGATTGATGCTAATGATGACAATAACAGGAAAGATGATTGATGTTGACAATACAACGACAATAACGATCACAAGGACTCATGACTACGAATAGCATCTCTATCAGATTTTGCACTCTTACTTCTGGTGAACGCTCTTTCACTATCAATGCTGATGACTCTGTCTCAGAGCATCTACTTCCTGGCAGATCTCCGCCCTTCCAACCCTCCATCACTTTGAGCTTTCTTGGTCAAAGCAAGATCCTCGTATATCGTTTCTTCGCGACGCTCACGAGAATAAACTTTCAAGATTTCTGGCTACAAATAAGTTCTACTTGAACGAATCCTTAACCAAACCTAAAAATCATCCTTTGTCTTCTTGTCACTTCAATTGGCCTTCAATTCAACATCTTTTCATGACTATCATTTGTACCTCTATACAACTTCTTGTCTTAGTATCTTTGCGACATGTGAACTACAAATGTCACACCTTAACAATGCCCACATCCTCATCGTTTTCATTGCTCTTTTGCTCCATCGCCTCATCTCGAGCAATTCTACATCATCCTCGCTCGACCCACTCGAACATGCATGGAAGATTGCAAAAACTCGGAATGGGCGGAAGGAGCTATTCTGGGCACTTTCAATTTCTCGACATTTGCCCTTTTAGAGATAAATATTTCATTTATTTTCTATTCAGTCGAAACTTACTTCAATAATTTGGAGCTTATTAGATAGTTCTAGCCAAATATCATGCTACCGGGAATAGACACCAAGGCGTCGTTTTGGAGCAATCACGAGACGCGATGGGCGGTGAGTCCAATAGCAGCGATGGAGGAAGGAAGATGGCGGCAGACGTGGCGGCCCTCTACTCGAGCACGGAGGTAAGACAGTGTAGCAAGAGGATGATCGCGGCGGTTCCATCTCCCTTCGCTCGTCGTTGGTCCTCCTGACCTGCTCCTGTTGCAGTTGAGCCCAGCGCAAAGGGATGCCAAGGTGAAGATCATGTACGCCAAGGACGCGGTCTGGGTGGACCCGCTGACTCAGGTCTCCTCCATCCCCCTTCCTCTCCAACAACAACTTCATGAGACCCTCATGGCGTCGCCATCAGGCGCACGGAGTGGACGCGATCATCGCCAACTACAAGTCGATTTCCCTTGTCTCAACCGCCTCAAACCTCGAGGTGTACGACGCCGTCATGTCCATGGAGGCAGGAGGGTCGTCCATCTTGCGGTACCTCTGTGACTTGCTCATCCTCTTATCCTCAAGTACCCCGAAGCTTCGACGGCCTGGCTACCTACAAAGTCAAGTGGATTCCTCTTACCGTGTCGATCCGGTATGACACCCTGCCCATTTCTTGCGCTCTTACATTCTCTGAATTGTCCGACGTCCAGGCAGTGGAGCGTGATAGAGCTGAATGACGAGCAGCAGATCAAGACTCACACAGATCACTGGAGCTTGGAGGTGATTCATTCTTGCGTCTACCCCTTGGCGAGCTTTCGGTTAGTTTATGACTCGCCAATTCTTTTCTCAGTCTCTTGCACGAAACGTTCCAATCGTTGGGAATCTTTATGCCAAAATTTTCCGTCCAAGCATCGGAATGGTGAATACCTTATCCTTCCTGACCTCTGACTCTCTCGTCTTCCCCCGTCCTCGCTTCGTCTTCCCGTCCACCTGTCCCGATAGTTACCTTACACTTATCCTCCTACCTCCAGCTGAGATTCCTCTTTCACCTGCTTCTCTCTTCTCATCCTCGATTCACATCTGACGACGTGTGCAGCTGGTTTCCGCATGCTACAGGCTGGCGGGCAGCGGAGGAGACATGTACATCCCTCTAGCAACAAATACGTTCGCTTACGCCCTGCCACAGCAAGAAGATTCTGACTGAAGTCCCCAAGTTGCAAACACAGGATATGCCTGCTCCAGATGTGCAGGACAAAACACCGATGCCGAAGAAGCAGGAGGTCTTGACTGCACTTATGCTTGTGCACAGGAATCTGATTGCAGGAATGCAGGAGAGCGACGGTAGGAACGTGGACTCTGAGGAGGTAAAGATCTTGTTTCTGTTTATCACGTGCTGATCTCATCGCTCGGCAGCTGAAGGCTCCCGAGCCGGCGTTGGCGAGCATGGAGGTTGAGCAGAAGGTTTGTAAGGAAGCTGGAGGAGGAGACTATGACCGAAGCGCAGGAGGCAGCAGAGGACGAGGAAGCAAAAATTGCGAGACAAGATGGCGAGAGAGAGACAGAAACAGATGCAGGAGGTGGAGAGGAAGAAGCTGCAGATCCTGAGGTAGTCGGGGATGTCGCAGACAGTGGCGACAAGCTGATTCCAGCCGAGGGCGAGACCAAGGACCAAGCTGCAGCTGCGAAGAAGAAGAAGAACAAGAAGAAGAAGTAAAGGGGAGGTGGGAGAGTCTGACGAGGGGAACTCAGTGAGGCCACGGCGACAAGTGACCTGCGGTAGTCCAACTACAAGTCAGTGACATGCGGAGTGAGTGACAGTGCTGGCGATGGATCGACTGGGGACAAACTTTGAAAGTTGACGGTCGGGCGAAGGTCGAGCGACTGCACTGCCAAGGGCCTCTGGCACCATCACTGGCAGTGGCAGTACAGTCGGAGGTCTCTCGGGCAAGTCGCGCGAACTCCCTGGTCCCCGGGCCGCCGGCGGAGTCACCCGGAGTCACCACGTGAACACGGTCAGCCTTCAGTTCAGTGCGCCGCGGGCCTACGCCGCGCCCCGGGCCGGGCCGCAGTACTCAGACTCCCGGGGAGGGCCTCAGTGGCCGAGCTCACAGCAGCCGCTGCCTCAGTACGGTACCAGTATGCCGCGGCAGCGGCTAGCAGGCCGGGCCGGCGGACCGTCTGACCCCGGCGGGTCAGCGGCCCTCGCACTGCGCCGCGCAGTACCTGTACTCAGTAACACGAAGATAACTATACATAATATGTAATCAAGATATGATAATGACACATCATTGCCATGTCCGCTCGGATCCCGGACACGGTGACGTGACCGACTCAGTTCATCGGTTAACCGTTACGGCCCCCGTCTGCCAGGCGGCACTCAGTGCCGCCGCGTCCGATCGGGTCGCCGGGCATCGGGCACGACTGACTCGCCGAGTCAGGCAGCACGCCCCGCCGCCGCCGGGATCCGACGGCGGCGAGTCACTCGGCGGTGCTGAGCCTCGGCTGACTCCGCGACGGTGAGTCACCGTTCAACGGTTGGTCACGGTTCACAATCCGAGTGTCGGGCAATCATCAATTTCCAGTCAACAAATTTTTGGAGTAATCATTTTCCAATCAACGAAAGTTTGCAGTAATCATTTTGCAATCAACTTTTTGAAACTATAATCACATTTTCCAATCAAAACTCCCCGTTTCGTACCGTTACACGATCAGAAACGGTCGTAACCGTATACTTTTGCATCACTGAGCGGCCTGAAACTTTGTATTATTGTTGGAACTTGACTGATGAAAGTTGTTTCAAGACTTTGCCCCGTAAAAGTTTGGAGGCGAAACTTTCAGCGGCCTCCAGACATATAAGGGTAGATGGGGGTGGGGGTGGGTTGCGGTCAGAGATTCCTTTTCGGTAGGGGTATTTTGAAAATCAATCATCCATAACAATTTCATTAATTCCTGATATTTAATTTCTAATATTTCAAGTAATACTGGGTAATTTCAATTTTATGTTCAAATGTGTATCACTTTCGAAATCACCACCCTTGTTTTGTGAAGCATGTTCCAAACGTCATGAAACCCCCTCATGACCCAGTGATTCTACCCGTAGTCAGTGTACCCCACCCACCTTTTTGACTACCCACCCTTGTCGACCTTTCCTCACCCCCCCCTGTCCTCGGAAGAGCTTGAGAGGCCGTAAAGGGAATTATAGGGGTGGGGGACGATACAAGAAATTGATTTACAGGGTGGGGTACTAGGAATTTGAGGAATGGGTGGGTACTTTGAGTATGAATTTCATGGGTACTGATTTTGAATTGGGGGTGGGGTGGGCCATAATGAATCCTCCTTTGTAGTCGGGGTTCCCTTCATTCAATTCAGAGGCCGAGGGGTATCATGCTTCAAGGGGCTCGTATGTACGGGTGGGGTCAGATGATATACCGGTACATTTCAGTTCAAAATGTCTCGAAATATGCGTGGGGGTTATCAATATTGGGGGTGAAGGTACTCTTGTAACTTGGCGGATGAGGTAGGGGTGGGTCTTTGAGATCTAAAGGTCTTTGTGAACCGGTGAAAAGGACCTCGGGACCGTGAGACAGGGGTGGATTCATGTAAAGTGACATTCATGCAGGGTGGGGTGTAAACAAAAATTCAATATTCCAAATATCGAATTGTAATTTGAAATTATGAACAATTTTATTTGAAAATTGTGAACATTTTCTTAAGTAAGAGGTGGGGGTACCGGTGAAGGGGGTGTATTGCGCAACACCAGGGGTTCTGGCGATTAAAAAGTGGGTGGGGTGGGGTCGAGGGTAGGGTTGCCGAGAATGCAGGGAAAGGGGGCGAAAGGAGCGAAATGGAGCAGATCAGCAGGGTAGAGAATTGTGAATGACAGATTGAATAGAGCACAGAAGTGGAGAACGAATGAGGAGGCAGGAGAGGAGAGGATGAAAAGATGGATCTGAAGGGAGGGAAAGACATAAAGTTGCTTCTCGGGCAGGATTGATGCAAGTAGAGCGGGTCTTGCGGGAGGGACTTGAATCAGAGATACGAGGATGGCAACAAGAGGAGATTAATGATATCAAAACTGTTCATAGATTAGGACAGATCAAGTTAGAATCTCTTGACTGTACGCTTTCCTGTGATCGACTGTGGTGTGTAATAGCCTGATCTTTTCATCCAGGGATTGTAGGATGTTTGTCCTGCGGTTTCTTGTTGCAAGTGCTTGCGTAGCAAGCTCGGTGGCCTTTGCTCCATCCGCTCCTTTTGCGGGTCTTAGGAGCTCAGCACTTCGCTCCACATGCGGCCGGGGACGTGCCGGAAGATGCGTTGCCGGTGAAGGACCATTGCGAGCTTCATCGTTCCTCTGACGCTGGAGCAGGGCCCAAGATGGTAGCGGTGGACACTGACAAGATCGACACCGGCGAAGGACAGGTCATGCGCCCTCGCTTCCTCAACTCTTGGGAGGAGAGCAAGGAGGCGCTTGTTGGAAGGTTTGGGTTCTCTCCCAACGAAGTTGATCAGTACGCCGAGATCAGCAAGGAGGACCTGGTGCACGCGTATGGGATGATGCTGCTTTCCCGCCAGTTCGAGACGGCATGCAACCAAGAGTACATGAAGGGGAACATCAGAGGTTTCATGCATCTTGACAACGGGCAGGAGTCTATCCCCGCCCTTGTTGCCGACTCCATCAAGAAGGGCGACAAGAAGTACAGCTACTACCGTGAGCACGCGCACGCTCTTGCCTCAGGAGTCGACGCCGGCGCCGTCATGGCGGAGCTCTTTGGAAAGATCGGAGGGACCTGCAAGGGAGCAGGAGGTTCCATGCACATCTACGACAAGGCCACCAACTTCCAGGGAGGCTGGGCGCTGGTTTCCGAGCAGCTCCCCTATGCTGCTGGAGCCGCCAGGTCCATCCTGCTGGACAGGATGCTGCACCCCGAGCAGCACAAGGACGATGACCGCATCTCCGTTGTTTTCATCGGTGAGGGAGGAGCTCAGAACGGACGCATGGCAGAATGCCTCAACGCCGCCGCCAAGGAGAACCTACCCCTCCTCTTCATCGTCATCGACAACGGCAGAGCCATCAACACGTTCACAGGAGATGTGGCCAAGAACCAGGACGTTTTCCTCCAGGGACAGCACTACGGTGTTCCCGGGGTCAAGGTCGACGGGCAGGACATGGTGGGCGTTCTCCAGGCCGGGCGTGCGGTAGTGGACTATGTGAGGAAGAGCGGCCCTGCTATCCTTCAGGTCCACACCTTCAGGTTCAACGGACACTCTCCTGCTGACCCCGAGCACGAGAGAGGCCGCAAGGACGAGAAGAAGTGGGCGAGGAACGCTGCTGACCCCATCAAGATCTTCGAGGACAAGATGCTCGCGTCGGGCAAGTTCACCGAGGAGGAGCTGAAGGAGCTCAAGGCTAAGGCCTCTGCCGCTTGCAAGGACGCGGTCGACTTCGCCAACAAGTCTCCTGCTCCCCCTGCCACCCTCGCCAAGGAGCTCGAGTTTCCCGATCCCCCCTCCACCGACTACAACCAGCGCCCTGCCCCTGCTGGAGCTGATGAGATCAACAAGAGGATCCTTGACCCCGAGGCACTGAGCAACTGCCAGGCCCACATCTCCCAGCTGCGTGAGAAGGCCCAGGCTGGTCAGATCACCATCGGAGACGCGCTGAACCTTGCGATCCTCGAGGAGATGCTTCGGGACCCTTACACCACCATCAAGGCTGAGGACCTTCAGGCCGGCTCCTCCTACGACATCCCCAAGCTGACTCAGCAGACGTTCGGTAAGCTGAGGGCGTCCGACGAGATCATTGACGAGGGTCACTTCATCGGCAAGGCGCTGGGCGAGGGCATGAACGGCTACAGGCCCATCGTCGAGCTCATGAACACCAACTTCGGCATCTACGGCATGGCCGAAATCTCCTCCTGCGGCAACACTTACGCCACTACCGGCGGAGAGTTTGACATGCCCGTCACCATCATCGGAGCCGGAGGAACGGCCCCCGCCCAGTCCCTCGGAGCCGAGCACTCCCAGCCCTTCCACGCCTACATCATGGGGATCCCCGGGCTCAAGGTCTGCACTGCCGCCTCCCCCGAGGCCGCCTACGGCCTTGCAAAGAGCATGATCCGTGACAACGGCCCCGGCATGCTCTTCTGCCCCGTCAAGATGATGAAGGACGTGAAGGGTAGCCCTGAGCTCGACAAGTGCCTCCCCCTTAACAAGGCCGCTCTCCTCCATGCTGCCTCCGACGCCGCGGTCAAGGAGGGCACCGCGGTGACCGTTCTGACCTACCTCCATGGCGTGAAGGAGGCGCAGAAGGCCCTGCCGCTGATCCAGGAGGAGGGGATGGATATCGACCTTATCGAGCTCCGATCGCTGAAGCCCCTGGACAGGGAGACAATCTTGGCGTCCCTCAAGAGGACCCACAAGCTCGCCATCCTCGATGAGTCCACTCAGTCCGGAGGAGTCGGCGCCACCATCTCCGCCATCGTCTCTGAGGAGATGTTCAACGAGCTTGACGCCCCTGTCAAGCGCCTCTGCATGGACGACGCGCCCGTCCCCTACTCGCTCGCCATGGAGGCTGCGGTGGTGAAGAGAGACTCTGATCTCGTCAAGGGTGTAGCCGACCTCGTGCTGGGTCGGTACTGAGCGGCAGCTGGAGGAGGAGGCGGTGAGTTGTGAAGCCTGCCGGGTCAGTTTTTGCGAGTTTGAGAAGAAGAGAAAGAAGAAGATTGTAACAAAGCTTTAAGATTGTTAAGATGCCTTCTTCTTGCTCCTCCTCTTCCACATTCGCCTCCTCCTGCTTCGTTTCACTCTGTCCGTGCAGTCCAGGCGCCTCCTCCTGTTTCTTCATCTGCTCTCCGACAACAGATGCACGTCGACACATGCGACCCTTTCATTATGTTCCCGCCGTCTGATGCGTCCTCATCCCCTCTCTCCATCTCAACCTATCTGTCCTTCAGCAGCATAGCTTGATGCCCTCCCTGCCGACTTCGTCAATTTGAACATTTTCCCTCCTCCTCCTCCTCACGTTGGGTTGTACAGCGAGGTGATGGTCTTGTCCCCCTGCAGCAACTCCACCTGAAGAACCTGACCTGCCTCCCCAGCTGCGCAGCCCATCAGCTGCGAAGTTTGCGGGATGTTCTCACGTTGCAGGGCGAAGAGGCAGCTCATGATCGAAGCGCCCAGAGGCTGCAGGAGGCATAAGTGAGCGAGTAGGAGGAAGAGGAAGAGGAGGAGGAGCGAAACGATGTAGGGAGGAGGAAGAGGAAAGAAGTTGATGGAGGAGGACTAGGAAAGAGGAGGGAACAGGACGATCATCGAAGAGGAGAGCGAGACAGAGGAGGTGAAGCAAGAGAGGCAAAAGGAGGTGAAGAAGAAGGAGGAAGGAAAGGAGACGATTGAGTATGTGATAGATCCCAGAAGCTCCTCCACTCACGTTTGCGGGTGACGATGAGAAATTTGAAGTTGTCGATCTTGTCGATAAGTTCAGAGCAGAGATGATGATATCGAACGATTGGAATTGGAGGAGGAGGAGGAGGAGGAGGAGGAATAAGGACGGGAGGAGGAGGAGGAGGAATAAGGACGGGAGGAGGAGGAGGAGGAGGAGGAGGAGGAGGAGGAGGAGGAGGAGGAGGAGGAGGAGGAGGAGGAGGAA